TTCATGTGATGAGCTGGCCTTGTCCTATCTAGGGCTAAGCTAGTTCATCTCTTAGGTTGCTATGATGGCGTAAGCGGCCTTAGGCATTACTGACACCAAGGGTGCTTGTGGAGGCTCTCAGTCGTACAGGAAAGTTCCATCGTAGAAAGGGTTCCGTCAGTCGTCATCTGTACCTGTGGGTAAAAAACAAAAAACAAAAAAGGACGTTTCGCTTGTCTCACAGAAGCTTCGTCAGCGGTAGACAACTCTGAAGTCTCCGTGAAGACTCCGGGAAATTGCTCAGCGCTAAAAGGCTGAGCGTGGCCTATTTGAGGACTGGGTGGGGATGGTTAGTCACGCCCCTATGGTGACCATTGATTTCTAAATTCCCTATCGTTGGGTCTTGATTAGACCTATTGTTTGGGCTAGGGCTGAATAGTTACTTTCAGTTAGCCTGATCAGCCTGTCTATGTCCCTTGGTGGTCAACAAGTTATTGTAAATAGGAGACAGGTTAAATCTGATACCTCCTTCACGGTTCAGAGAGGGTGAAAATTTTTTAACAAAATATTCCCATAGAATAGACACACCACTACTTCTGGGTGTTCACTTGAACATAGTGCTTTCATAGGTTTCATACATGTGCACACCCCACGTAGCCACATCACACATACAAAGACGTGACTGCCATCCAAACATTCCTCTCTGATGACAATATATGATGACCCGTTCTGATTCAAATGAAATGCAAACATTCTGATTCGGCCACTTGGCAACTCAATTCAAGTTACCACCGCTTCATGCGCAGCCCTCAATGGTAGCAACAGCATTTTAAAGAATATGCGGCAGTTCCGACTGCAAAGTATGTCTTTATAACACCTCATTTGAGCCAGCAAACCAAATGCAGCGCACAGTGACTATATAAGCTGATGCCCTTTGCGTTACAAGTTAATGCCACTGCGTGTAACTTTCAGAGACAACAGTGACAGCTGCCATCTTTAGCCATCTAATACGTTTATTTTTTGACACCATCTGCCTTGACCCTAAGTCCAGAAGAAAGGAAGGCTTTTTTTTCCTTTCATTACCCGATTGGTTCCTAAGCACCTCGAAAGGTCACAGTTTCAGGTAGGCCCTGCATAAGCCACATGGTAATACAGCTAAAGCTTATGCGAGAAGTTGACCAAAAGTTAAGACAATCACTTACAGTAAAATCCCCAGCTTTCAAACTGCTCATTGAAAGTTGTGGGAATGTAGGTGCTTGACTCCGATGGTACGTCGGGGGCTTGTTTTTTTGTGACTGAAATTTTTTCTTCGTTTGCATCTGGAGAATTTAAACCATTTTTTCTGTATGTGTGCCAATGGATGAAATTTCAGCTGTTACAAAGCTACAGTTTCTTGATTACTTTCAAAGTTATCCTGTTAGCAATTGTGATTGATGTCCTGCATGCTGTGATCACATATATGATCCCTTTTGCTCTCACACTGGTCAAGAAATTTGAATGTTTCTTCTCATCTACTACCAGACAACAAGAGGGAATACATTTCCAACTGCCGCATGCAACGTGCCCATGTGATGAAGGGAGTGACGGCGTATATTGAATGGAGATGAAGATTTAGTTTGGTTATTTATGATTTTTATATCAGTGCCGTAAAAGTGCAGATAAAGATCCTTGCGTTGAGACGCAATTGAGAGAGAATTACAGTTTTTTCAGTGAAAGCTTCTAGTCTACTGAATTGCAAGTAATTTGCAGCAAACATGAATCAGGATTGCTCCCGCCTCCCTGTGTGGAGTGGGTTTTCTTCAGGTACTCCGGTTTCCTCCCACATTCCAAAAACATGCATGGCAGGTTAATAAAATACTCTCAATTGTCCCGAGGTGTGAGTGTGAGCGCGGATGGTTGTTCGTCTCTGTGTGCCCTGCGATTGGTTGGCAACCCGTTCAGGGTGTCCTCCGCCTACTACTTGAAGTAGGGATGAGATTTTTCCGCGTTTTGGCGGAATTCCGCTTTTTTCCAGTCAAAATGGACCTATTTTATATTGTTCGAAATCCATACAAAATTCTGTGTATGTCCGGACTTCTCTTCGGTAGATTCGGGGCTCGTAATGTTTACAAGTAACGTTTGCAAGCATCCATTTTGAATCCTGTTTTTTAACGCGAAGCGTTAGTTTGTCGTTACTTAATATATGGGCTAAAACCAATGTCTTGTTGTGATTGGTCGCTATATCGGCAAATGCAAATCACAACCAATCCGTGTTCGCCTTCCTAAACCCCTTTCTCGCGAATGCCGAATGTTATCGAGACTCGTGACGAAGCTAAAGTGAGTCAGATAGATGCGGATCTGAAAAACACGTTTCGATGGGACTGGTTGGATAGAAAGCTGACGGTGTCCCCAGTAGGAAACAGTAAAGAGGAACCATTGTGCTTGTGTCGGATTTCATGAAAAAGCTCGATGTCGCCGGTAAAGCTCTGTGTACAGCGTGTGACGATGTCATTCTATACGGATCGAGAGGATGGAAAGCTTTACAGAGTCACGCAACCTCGGTGAAACACCGCAAACAGACATTTCTACTGAAAAGTAACTACTCGATCTCAAGCGCTTTTCGACAGCCTGGAGCATGTGTAAAAACAAGAGGAGTTGGCTAACAAGAGAGTGGAAAAAGACGGAGAGGACCAATAAGCTTTTAGCGCTTGCTAAAAAGCTTAAAATGAAGAGAAAATAAAGTATTCTACCTCATGAAACTGTATATTGTTGTATATACTGTCAATAGAAATCTACTTTATATAATAAAATACATTCATAGCCCATATATAGTAAACAGTGTGGGACTTCACTATCACTGTATGAGGTAAGAATCAACAGCTTTTTATCACATTTACACAACACTTTATGAATACAAGTAATGAAAAAATCTGAAATATGGCAGGGAATGTTTCCTTTTTTAGTTTTGATTTTGAGCAGCAAATTTGAAGTTACATATTGGTGCTCACCAGGAATGCATAAGCAAAATTACACAAATTTTCACTTGAAAGAATAGTGAACAATATTGGGATTTTTTTTCTGTTAAAGTTTCAAATAGTGTGTAAATTGAATACACTTCATCTTCAGCATGTTTAGTGCCACTTTTATAAGTGGCCCTGCCCCCGTCCCGGCCACGCCCCCGTCCCGGCCACGCCCCCTTCCACTTTTTTCATCACTAGTCACTCTCATCCCTGCCAAAGACAGCTGGGATAGGTTCCAGGAATTCCCGTGACCCTCTTTAGGATAAGCAGTGTTGAAAATGGATGGGTGGATGAATCAGGATTAATTTAAGCAAACAGATTGCAGTATATTCCCTGTCATTTCTTTTTTTATTTACACTTCAGATGGTAAGACAGAGTTCAGTCATAATTAAATAGACTAAATAACACCACATTGCTAAACATAACACGATCAATATGCTTTTTATGAAGTGCAACTTTTTGTGTGGCTGCAGTTGGAAGACACAAATTCTTTCCAATTTTCTTTTTTACAAAACCACATGGTACTCTTCGATCCGTGGCATGATGAATGAGTGGTCGGTTACAGCTGCCCTAAATAAAATTTTCCCTTTTTACTTAAGGCCTCCTTCATAATCAAAACATGGAAGGGAAATTCTCAGTCAACAGGATACAAACACAGGATTTACATCATGTTGAATTGGGTATAATAAGTGTTTCATATTTTGTTATTTTAATTAATATTTCCCTTATTGTGTCAATCAAAACTGTATTGTTATTTTGGGAAAAGTTGAACATTTTCTTCCAGTTCTGATAAGTGCTTGCAACAGGGAAAGCTATGCCATCAGTCACTTGTTACATGTAATTGTAAATATCCGATTAAACATGCTGAAACTGGAATGTGCTTCTGAAATTTTTTTGGGGAGCTCGTTTGCACTTGGAGTAGAGTGAAATAATGCGCAACATCTTTGATTCAGTCTAAGTCAGGGGTGTCCAAATGTTTTCGTGTGAGGGCAGCGTACAGAAAAATGGAAGGAAGAAAGGGCCACTTTTCAATTCTTCAACTCTTTGAAACACGCTGAAGTCAGTCAAGAAATCAATTACCAGAATATATTGTTTTTATTGTCTTGGTAATTTCATCAGCTTTCTGTTAAAGGCGTTAAGGAAAAGAGTTGATGATTTCTGGGGTTACCAACAGCCGTCACAGAATAGATACCGCTCTGCACTTAACAGCAGCCGAATCCCATCTCCACATTCAGAACCAAAAAAACAAAAAACAAATTGTAGTTAAGTGACCATTTTTCAAGCACTTACTTGAGCATCATTCATGTGATGTCTTCATAAATCAGCAATAGAGCACCAAGTGGAAAAAACTATTTTTGCCTCTAAAATCGAATTGTCTTTATTCACGACAGTGTTTTAAAGATACATTACTCTTGTCATCATAAAATGGTTTGTTTGTATCTTCGAATATCGAGAAAAATTCTGCTGTATGAAAAAAGATTAATTTGTAGTAATGGCACCTATTTTTCTGACAACCTACCTTCTCACGCTGCCCACCTTCACCTAACCTTGTGGGTCATGCTAAATGTCATTTTTAGTTGTCGCTAAAAAATGGATGGTGGGTCGCAAATGGTCTTCGGGCCGTAGTTTGGACACCCCTGGTCTAAGTGAACGCTAGTGCCAATATTCATGTAGTGCACAGTACCAAAATTGCCATTTTGTATGCCTAAGTGTGCCGTGGAGAAACTCCAGACATTGGTTTCATTTGTGATGTCACAGCTGGTGACATATTTTCATGTTCACACGACCAGCAAGCATATATAACCCGGCAGATGTTTTGCGTTACATCCATAACCTTCGACATCCGCCCCCAGTTACAATGTTACTATCATACTACTGATTTCTGTCTGTTTTAGCTGATTTAATAGTGAGTCACTCAATTCCCCAATTCTTTTCGGCAGAGAAACTATTTTCCGTTGTGCGTCACTCTCTGTTTCGTTGTATTGCATCCAAATTTGAGCTCTTGTGTTATTTCATCCGCAGGTCTTCTGTGTACAGCGGCAGCAGACAAGTGTCTCTCATCACCTTGTAACAATGGCGCCACATGCCTTGAACATCTGGGTGACTACGTGTGCCTTTGCCCCAAAGGACCCGTGTGGTACATGGGCAAAAACTGCGATGAGCTGTATGACGCTTGCATCTTGGCACCTTGCACCAACTGCACCAGCAGTCCCGGAACTGACAATTTCACATGCCACTGTCCGGATGGCTTCACAGGCCTCAACTGCACACAGGATGTAGATGAGTGTGAAAGCAACCCCTGCAAAGGTATCAAGTCATACTGTGTCAACAGAATCGATGCCTATTCATGCCACTGTCCCCATGGATTTGGAGGCCAATACTGTGAATCGAATGTCACCACTTGCTCAGAGGAAACATGCCACAATAGCGGAACCTGTCGAGACATTCCTGACGTTGGACATCATTGTCAGTGTGATGCTGGATACCAAGGGGCCAACTGTGAAGAAAACATCAACGAATGCGAGTCTGCACCGTGTCAAAATGGTGCCATCTGTAAAGATGGCGTCAATGCCTACCAGTGTTTCTGTGTGCCTGGATTTCAGGGCTTCCACTGTGATTTGGACATAAATGAGTGTGCCTCCCAACCATGTCAAAATAACGGTACATGTTCGGATGAAGTGGACAATTACAGTTGTGATTGTACTGAAGGCTTCAAAGGTAGGGAAAACATGAGTTGAACATTACTTATCTATGCACATCTCTCTCTCTCTCTCTCTCTCTCTCTCTCTCTCTCTCTCTTTCTCTCTCAACCACTCCCTTTTAACTAATTAATCACACTTTTTAACTACTATTTTCAACAAAGCATGGAGCATATTTAGTTGAGTAAAATCTTGAAATGTATAAATTAGAGAGAGGTGGGCAATTTACAAAATTTTTTTAGTCCATCATTCGTCATCTGTCAGTGGCCTGGGCACCCGTCCGTCATTTTGGTCGTTCAACATGGTGCCGCTCAGACAAATGAAGTATGTTTCCAATCTCTCATCTTGGCCCACTGGCGTCTCTTTAGGTATTAACTGTGAAGTAGAGATTGATGAGTGCGAAGTACAGCCTTGCCAGAACGGCGCCACCTGCCGAGACTATGTTGCCATGTACACATGTGAGTGTATGGACGGCTTCCAGGGCCAAGACTGTGAGATCAACATCGATGAATGTGCCAGCATGCCATGTCTGAATGATGGCAGGTGCATTGATGGTGTCAACAGGTAGGTCCACTAAAAAAACGCACAACATGCAAATTCATTCATAACAAATGGTTCTGCTTTCTTCAACAAAACTACAGGGCTCTCTAGAGTTAATGTTATTCAGGTTCATGTGTGGGTTTGTAGAAAGGCAGCCTATAGTTTTATTTTATGACCAATTTATGCAGAAATCCAAGTCATTCAAAAGGGTTTAAACTACTTATACTGCACTTAATGTATGGGGAACACAATTGATTGGGGTCATTAGTAGTGTAGTGGTTCACATGAGATTTTTTTTTTTTCTGGAGCCGTCACTCCAGCATGTAGTCCAGAATTGGCTTGAGTGAGAAAAAGAGCTTTGAAACATTCCTCATTTGGAACTCCTATCGTATGTAGTGTTTGAAACACAGGACAACACTGCTATGGTAACTTAGACTTAGACTTAGTCTAAGTCTAAGTCTAAGTCTAAGTCAACACTGCTATGGTAACAGTAATAATCTTACAAAACAAAATCCGATGGTCAGTTGTATTTAGTATACTTTCCCATTTTTTACATCCACTACTTTTCATGCGATTGAAGTGTCGCACTGATGTGGTTCCACACAGGCCACAGTGGATATTTCACCGGGGATAAGAATGAACCCAATTTCTCTGCACCGTTTCAACAAGTCATTGGATGACTCGAACTGCTGGCAATATCTAACACAGATTAACTGAGTGAGTGAGTGAAAAAGATGAGAGTCATGCAAAGTGTGTCTGGGGACACACTCGATCAGTGAATGAGTGAAAAGCTCCTCAGTCTTACCAAGCCATTTTGTGCAGTTCTGTGCTTCCAAATCTGATTTCTTCAAAGTTGTCCCCCATATTTGGATCTCATCCATGTGCTGAAGACTTTGTGCCTTTCGTGTCCTTCCTTAGATATCAGTGTGACTGCGAGGGGACAGGCTTTGAAGGTCACAACTGTGAGGAGGACATTCCTGAATGTGCTTCGGGTCCATGCCAGCATGGAGGCACCTGCTTGGAGGGGATCAACCAGTACAAATGCCTCTGTTGGCCTGGTATACAACTTAACATGATATTAACTCTGATTCGTTAATGAAGCAAAACCTCCAATTTACAAAAATTTTCTACTCCACATTTTTTATTGTACTGTAGATTCATTTGTGATGTACCCATAGGGAGTTCTGACTATAAATTTCACCGCACATCTACAGCAAGAAAAAAATCACAAGATGGCATGTGTAATTAAAGGTTTATAGCTAATGTGGCTGAATACCTCTGCGGATTGGCTGTTTCCCACGCATAAATCTAAATCAACAATAGAATTAAATAGTTTTGGGTCAAAGGCGTCAAAAGAGCAAGGTTGTCCGATTGTGTGGAAACAGCACTGCAGTTCTTCCTTCATCCAGCTAAGATTATCAACAAGATAACACCTGAATAGAGATGATTGCAAATGTATTAAGTGTTGCTGCTTGATCATGACTGTGTTTTCAAACTTCTAATAAGCAAGGTTTTAGCTTGAATCAAGTTTTTGCTTTATTTCAGCTTGCAACTATGTGTCTCATCTGGGAAACACATCATCGTACCTTTGGATGCAGCTAATTCACACACCGAAACACACGCAATTCCATAAAGCTCTAACAGCAGTCAATAAATAGGATGATTGTGTGAAACAGTTCTTTATTTTCAACTGTACATACTGTACCTTGACATGCAAATATGATGCCTTTCACACAGGAAGTCAGCTCTGTTGTGTCAATGAATGTCCGTGTTTTCAGGTTACAAGGGTGAGAACTGCCAGGTGGACGAAGATGAGTGTGCGCAGTACCCCTGTGAAAATGACGGCGAATGCTTCCAGCGCTCAGATGTGGAGAATTACGGGGCACTCCCTGAACTCACCGCGGCCAATTTTTCCTATGAAGAAGCAGCTGGATTCATCTGTCACTGTCAACCTGGATTCACAGGCAAGCAAGCACGCTCCAACCCGTTTGACATTGTTTTCTCAGAAATGTGGTTTGGACATATTTGTTGCTGTTGCAGGAGGCAACTGCTCTCTCAACGTGGACGAGTGTGTATCTGCTCCATGTCAGCATGGAGGAAGTTGCCAGGATTTAGTCAACTCGTATCAATGTTTGTGCTCCGATGGCTTCACAGGTATGACCATTTTTACATCACTTTCTCACTAATGCTCTGCCTGGATCGCAGTCTTTCGACCAATATGGGTCCTCGTCAACTATTCCTGTAGCTTTCTAAAACTTTGCTTGGCGTGACAATGTCAAACGATTCCGTGAGCTACGGCAGAGGTTGACTAGGTGGCGCAGACCAAAGAATAGTAGAGGGTTGACAATTCGATAGAAAATTGTTTACATTGTGTGTTGTACTGTACCCGTGCAATAAAAGCAATCAGTTCAAAATTTCACCTGATCGAGTCCTGCCAATAAATGTCCCACAGTCTTGTCGTCCCAAGGCACCTTATCTGGCATATCAGCAGCTGAATTCTTGCCCAGGAAAAACAAAACAATTCCTGAACTCTTTAACGTAACTTGAAAGCACAACCTGCCGAATCAGTTTTAGTCAAATCAGCTACTTCACAAGGTGTGAACAAAGACCACTTGGATAGTGGATCTGAAAAAGGCAGACTCAGATAAATAGCGGTACAAAAATATTTATTGAAAGAAAAGCGGGAAACTAACAAAGTATAAACAGAAATCGCTAGTGACAAACAGCCAGGAAAACCAATCGAGAACAAAAAGCACTTGCAACCGGCAAGGAAAAATTGGAAACTGAAAATCCACAAAACGAAATGACAAGAGTAAAAAAATAACTTGACAAAAAGGATATTTATGAAACCAAAATTCATCAAGACAAAAGTGACTCTGAACAAGAGCATGAGGTCTAGAAAATGGTACTTGGGCATGAACAATGAACAAGGTTAATAATCCGACAAAGCGAAGCATAAATCAGAGTCCTTAAATACAACAGACTGGCTCACCACAGGCTGATCAGACCTGGGTTTGTGCATTGGGCGGCCCACAATTTCTTCTTCTCTTGCAACCCTAGCCAGTGACAGCTTCTTTTGGTACCTCTGGCTTGCTTTTTAATGGCATTTCTTTGGGCCTGCCCTCAGATTCCCATGTCCGTAAGTAGCTTTGTTGCGGAACTGGCCACAACGCTTCTGCAGTCCACTTCCAGTGGATGCCCCTTGACATTCCAGTCAGTTTGGTTTGCTTGTTTGGTTTGATAGTTTGGAAAAGCACAGCCTATTCCTTTTGAATTCCTTATTCATGACTACCTGCCATGCAGACAAGCAGGATTTAGACCAGACGACCAAGTCTGGGTGCAGGTTTGTCGTAGCCATTTTGAGTATATTTTTACCTTGGTCAAAGCTGGTCATACAACCCACCAGAATGTTCTGAGGGCTGTTGGGCCAGTACCCCGGCGATCGAATGGTTCCTCTCCAAAGGTTGGAGGGGAGGTGGGGTGGAGGGTGAGGTCAGGACATCGTAAGCGCCTCTGATGATGAAGCTTAGCCTACTGGACTCCATGTTCCATAGCTCCTTTCCTCAAACTGACATTTATACAATCTAAGAATTGTACTCCCTGCTCAAGTTAACAGCTTTGAATATTCACAGCTTTTGTATGATACTTTCCTTTATGCAAATAAGAACGTTCAACTATTTATAACGACTATTTCCCAAGATAGTTTTGACAAGGTTATGAAAGACTAGCGTTGTTGGGGCATCTTACAACTTAAGGCATGTTTGGCATCTACTAAAATGAACTGGGTCATGCCAAACTTGGCAGGTGCACACAATAACTTCCAAAGTACCATCGGTGTATACGTAATAAGGTTCGGCTACATTCATTCCGTAGTTTCTGCGAAATAGTGCTACGAGTGAAATCACATATTCTATTCCAAAATTCCTGCTCCCACAACAAACTCTGCTGACATTTTCAAATGTTCTATATTTGTAAAATTATTTTTTGGGTTCATGGAGTATGTGCAAATGTGAATAGCTTAGCTTCATGTTTTCCTTTAAGACTAAATGTCAAATATCTGCAAATTATGGCATCTCAATCTTCATTAAACAGTCGATGATGTCGATGTGTCAATTTTTGTTCAGATATGTTGGGACATAATGAAGTTTTTACTGTGTTACTTGAGTTCGAAGGTACTCATCATTTTGACTGATTGTCAATTTTGGGAAATCTTGTCACATTGCTATTTTAAGATTCCTATGTGCCCATATATAGGAACGGTTCCTATTTTCTGCCTCTATATGTCAGGCCGGTGATCGACTGATGATCTTTCATGGGTGTATCCTGCCTTTCCCTCGACTGTTAAGTCAGACAGAATAGGCAATTCTTTCAAGGAATAATCAGTGTAGAAAATATACGGCTGAATAAGATCATCACGACGATGCCAGTGCAAGCATGCCTGTAATTAAACCTGAAGGCGTGTCAAAGGTCTTAGATTGACCTTCACACATTACCCGACTAAAGTGCAAAGTGGTTTTAATACAGCCGCTACACATATCTTAATGGTATTCCGGCTGATCATTTAACACAGCCAAATTATTATTCCTCAATGAAGTCATAGTCGTCACTTCATCGCTCCCAAACTATTGGAATTTCACCAAATAATTGAAATACCAAATGGACACTACCAAATCAACATGGACGTAGCATTCAGTGTCATAGGTTTGCAGTCGCTCAGTGATGCAGTTTGTCACATTTTTCTTGAAGCCTGCTGTGGACTGAAATATGGTATGTGAAAATTGTACTGGTTGTTGGAAAGTATGGTCAGATTTCACTGATAATGGACGTTCCATACTAACCTCACATCCCTGAGAAAAAATTGAATTTTGAGAAAATCATGCAATAACACAATGGGAAGCAATAAGCCAAGCGTTACCGACAAATTTGTACCAGCAGGACACTCGGGCCACAGCAAACAGAAGGGGCTGCATATGGTTTACAGGAGAACAGCAGACAACAACAAAGCCAATAAATGGTACCATATGTTCATCTTGGGTATTAAACGAGGACCACAAAGCAATTGTTGGAGGGGAGAGGAGATTATGATAAAGCTGCTTAGGAGCCTGTTTCAAATCTGCTGAAAAACAAAAGGACAAAGGCACCTATGTGACGCGTGTATGTGCAAGTCTGGTTTTTATACTTTTGAGCTATATTTTTCGAAATAACATGTTTCGATTGAGAATTTGCTATGACTACATCACTCAGATATTCGCTGGATTAAAAAAATGATGGAAAATGGCATACGGAAGCAAACATAATCCTATTAAGTTCCATATGCGTGTGCTTGATTGACTTGCCAAATGCAAGGGGTCGTCACCACATGATGTGCTCCCGCCTGCATGCCCAGCCATCACATAGTCTTCCTGCCTCCCACTTGACTAAGGCTACAGAAAGTGCAAGGTGCTTTATCCAAAATAATGTGCAGTGAGGCTCATGACTGCTGAGGCACTGACTCATCTCGAGTCGGATATAAAGATATAGATACCCGGATTCAGACATGTCCAAAGTCTGGCCCTGGGGTCAAATGCATCCCATGGTCGAATTTCATCCGGTCCCTCGGCCTCTGTCATAAAATCAGTAATGTTTGGCCCGCAGATTGTGCCCAGAGCGAACACACGAAATGCCGTTACTCATTTACCCACTGTAGGGCAGCAGCACTAGTCGCGACATCACCACGTGTGACCCTTTATCCCCCAGTTTTTAAAATGGCGACAATCAACAAAAAATAAAGTTGATTGCGAGGGTCGACGTTTCAGGGATGAATGGAAATTGGACATTACCAAACGAGACACGCTGACATGTACGTCAAGATTACAGGAGGAGAAGGAACCCACTGAGAAATTGAAGCATCTTGAAGCTAGTTAATCTCACATCAGCAATGTTTTGCAAGAGCCCGAGAGTCAAATGAGAACGCGACAAAAGCTATTTACGAGGTAGCAGCGCTGATCGCAAAGCATTTCAAACCTTTCAACAAAGGTGAATTTATGAAACACTGTGTGAAATCTGTCCTGAGAAGCAGCAAGGGTTTGACGCTTCGGATGCTGCTCAGTTACTTATTTTTTTTGAGGGTGGTGGACAATGAAATAAACGTTACTGAAGAACTATTTGACCTCCAGAGCCTGAAAACCCAAACGAGAGGAACAGACTTTTTCCTCTTCTGTTTGCACTGCCGTGGATGACATAAAACTCCAGTGGAATAACATTTCTGAGATTATTACGGATGGCGTATCATGACCGGCGAATGAAGTGGATTAGCAACACTAATAAGTAACAAAGTAAGTGAAGAAGAGGGTGAAGCTGTAAAACTCCATTGCATCATTCATCAGCAAGTACTGTGTCCCAAACATCTCCAAGACAAACATGTTATGAAATGGGTGATAAAAACTATTAACTATATCCGCTCCAGCGTGCTATTCCACCGTTAGTTTCAACAATTTCTAAGCGAGATTCATGCAGAATATGGAGATGTTGTCTATTACACTGACGTGCGATGGCTCAGTTGAGGTTCTGCACTTTCATGATTCTACTCTCTTAGGCAGCAAATCAATGAGTTTTTGGCTGAAAAGGGACAACCTAGCTGGCACCCTTGGCAAATAGTTTGGACACCCCTGGCTGATTTGGGTTTTCTAGTTTATATTACAAAGCTGCAGTCATAAGACAACTATATTCACACATCTATGCCTTTGGGACCAAGCTGAAATTGTTTGAAAGGCACCTGTCACAGACCCAAACCAATACCGCACACTTTTTAAGTACGCAGGACCTCCTGCGAACCCACGAGCAGTAGCCTACATCTGGTGCGTTGTCATCTGCTCTCTGCCAAATCCTCTGTCTGTCTACCGGCTCGCACGCAGCCCAGCCCCTTTGCGCTGCGGCTGCCTGCCATGATCATTGCCTCATAACGCACTCACTGCACACTAAACACCAGGCTGAACAGCGGGTTTTAAAAAATGTCGACTACAGCAGAACATGTACACACACAAGTTTACAAGTGTTTCATTTTTTGTTTCATTTTTTTCTTCCTCTTAAAGGTGTCCCCAGTTGTTACGTTTACAGGACTTTATAGGCTATTTAAGTATTGTCCTCTTTCAGTGAAAGTGTCCCCAGACACGCCCGATTTAATTTACAGCAATTTATATGTATACAGTACAGTAGGCCAGGTCTATATACTCTAGTTCGGGCTAATAAGTGTTTCATAATTGTTAAAAGTATTAAAATACAAATGTTTAATTTACAGCACTTTTTAATAAGCCATAGCCCATGCTCAGGTTCAGGCTACTTCAGTCTATAAAAAAATAAAAAATAACTGCACATTGCTAATAATTCACTTTAAATATGTCTAAATGCTTTCTTGACTTCTCCCTCCTTACTGACCACCAAGTGACCCCAGGGCCCAGTAGCTAATAATGACATGTTAAATCATGTCAATTAAATCAAAGCGTTTTGTTTTTTTAGTTTAAAAAATAATGTGATTCATGTCAATTAAATCAAAGCGTTTTGTTTTTTTAGTTTAAAAAATAATGTGATTCTATGCATTTCAGGGTTTCGGGGAGCTAAACCCTCACATTTCTTTTAGAATTGAAAAGTGGCAACCCTCGTAGAAGGCGTTATTAAATAGGTTTAGGTGGCCACATTAAGCCACTGCTCAATAACTCCAGGACGTTGTATGTGACACATTATGTCTTTGCAGTACATTTTTGAATTGCAAAATTTGAACTCAAACGAATTTGCAAAGAAACACATTTTTGCATCTTCACCCCAGCACAAATTCATGCCTGTTTTTTTTTTCTTGGTCTTGTATTTAAAGGGACAGTGTGGAAACATTTTACATGTTCATAATTTCAAAAACGCACCATTAATTTCAATAATATGCAAAATATATGTTCTGTCAGGTATTCATTTCTGTAATTGTAGGTGAAATAGTTGCTAATTATATTTCAAAAGACGATCATTCTCGACAGGAGGCTGCCATGTTTCGCTGCCATCTTTCTGCTACGGATACCTGAAGGAGACAAACTTAGCGACCGTTCCTCAAAATTATGACTACAGCATGTGTAATAAATGCCATGGCTTGCTCCATCACTTGAGGGTATACTAGAAGTCGTTTGGGATGACATTTTGCTCGCATCTCAACTGAAAAAATTTCGTGGAAGTCTTGCAAAGTATGGTCTCTCTGAGGCAACGGAGTGCCTGTGCTTCAATCTGAGGTCATTGCATTCTATTTGTTGACCACTAGATGACACTAAATTCGACACAGTGTATCTTTAATGTTATTATATCATGTGAATAGTTCAATTGGCGTCCGCAGCACCGCAACACTTGCCTACAGGTCAATTTATAACAACAGACAAACACTAGAGACAAAGACCGATTTGTAGTTCTTTTTTATTTATTTATTTTTTTACAAGCATGCAATCTATCAACATTATTATACAACCGATTGTGATTGATCGGCATTCGGCACCCCCACCTACCTCTTTTCTAATTCAACTGAATATGTGCGTGCCTGTGTGTGTTGAAGTGCGTGTACTTCAGTTCTGTTAGCTCAATTGGAGCCTCAGGAGCCATAGGCCTGTAGTGCCACCTAAAGGTTGATTTCAGAAGCACCTGCCATTACCCAGCACCCACAGGCCAGTGCAGGGATCAGGAACGCATTCCTCTTGTCAAATTCTGACAGGAGCCAGCTGGAAGCTGGAGGCTTATTACTTAGCCCGGGATGGGCTGTAGACGGTCAAGAGCACAGGGTGTGAGAGAGGGAGGGAGGGATGGAGGAGGCGAGAAAAAAAAGAAAAGGTGGGCAGGACTGCCTTGTAATCACTCCTGTCTGCCTGCATGGAGCATAGTGGAGGAGTAAAAACACTTGTGCTTTTTTAAGCTTGTGGAGTAAAAAGGCAGAGAAGACACGGTTGTGCCACTTGTGTCATCCGGCAGTGTGAGAGAGTGAGTGTGTTGGCTGTAAACTCATTGGAACATGAGAGGAAGGAGGTTACTGTTCCTGCTCTGTTTCTGCGGTGGGCCATGGCAGCTGACAGGTACAGCATGGTACAGCACTTTTTTAATGTATGTGTTGTAGCTTTAAAAATATGTGCTTGCATTAGACGACATAGCCTTGACATACAATTCTACAAATAGCTTTGTGATTTAGAAGGTTTTCAAATACGTTACTGCTTTTCTCCTCCTTTTTCTAGAGTTTTTACAGCTGCAAATGTTCCATCATTAAGCGGCCAGCACATACTGTAAAAGTTGTATGACAGTCAATGTCCATAAAGTCAAAGGCACTGGCCTTCCTTCAGAGTTGAGGAATATTGTAAATTTAATTGACCCAGTCACAATTTCCTCTCCCAGCTTCCTCTTCTGCCAAATGACAAAATAATGCACAGCCTCAATCAAATCTACTTAGAAGGCTGCATGCAGGCGCACTTGTGTCTGCATGTAATTAAGGAAGCCAGATCAACCAGTTTCCAGTACAGTGACCAATGTTGTTTGGTTATCAACATGCTTAATATGATTAAATCAGTTGATGATATCTGACAATGTCGCTTGTGGTCATTATGAGAGGATGTGATGATGGATCAGTGTTTCGGTACGAATGACTACAATGGTGGTTCTTTCCATGCAGGTGTGCATTGCGAAGTGGATATTGACGAGTGTGACAGCAATCCCTGCCAGAATGGTGCCACATGTGAAGATGCTGCCAACTCTTATATATGTCAGTGTCCTGAACCAGAACCTGATAAAGAGCCATTGGGTGGGCGCAACTGTGATGTTCTCCTGGTTGGCTGTCAGCAGCACCAATGTCAACATGACGGCATCTGCATGCCACTGCTGACAGCGTATGGCGAGCATAGCTACACGTGCCTCTGTGGGCCGGGCTGGACAGGAGGACTCTGCAATACCTCTACCACCTTTTCCTTCAACTCCCAGGGCTACGTCCACATGCAGCTGCCTGTTTCGAAAAACAGAGCTAGACAAGGTACTGATGACCACATGTATGGACTCCATATGCAGCTGAGATTCAGGAGTACTCTACCTGACATGTTGTTGTACCATCGCGGTACCATGGAACACTTCATCTCCCTGGAGTTAGTGCGGGGTTCTCTCCAGGCCAAGTTAAAGTCTGAGCGATTGCTGCAGGTCATTTATCCAGGTCCAGTGAATGACGGAGAATGGTACCAAGTCACTGTGACTATGGATGAGCGGTTGATTATGGCCGTCGAGGGACCTGGCTGTGAGGAAGGATGTCAAGTGAAAAATCAAGTATACAACCATCTGATCTTCTTCCAGTCAAATTCATTTCAACAGTTGTATGTAGGAGGAGCACCAAAGGAATATTTGACACTCACGATAAGTGGGAGAAGTTTCATTGGCTGCATGGAAGACCTTCGAGTTGACAATAAATTGCTGCTGCCTCAGGACCTCATGAGGGAGGAGAACGTAGGCTTGGAATTGGGCTGTGTCAAAGAAGATGTGTGCCACGACGACCCTTGCAAACAATTTGGGTTTTGTCTGGACATGTGGGTTGTGGCCAAATGTCAGTGTCACCGCCCATACTTTGGAGAAACGTGTGAAAGAGGTGAGAGTTCTTCGAATTGTGGTATTACGCTGCATTTGAAGCTGTCTGAATTCCCACAAACTATTTGCTTGAATAGCTCTGGTAACGCAACTTCAGGCAGTTTACTTAGTTGCTAAAACAGACAAGCTACAGCTTTACTGATTCGTAAAACTGCAGGAATTTGAAAAACAAGTCATTCAGACACCGCATGTACCTGATACTGTATAATGAATCAGTTTCAACATTGTCTTTGTAGAGTACCCATCCTGGACCTTTGGTCATGAGAACACTACAAGCTACGCTGCCTTCAACATCACAGAAACCCACGGAGAAAATTTTACCATCTCCTTTATAATGCGCTCTCTTAAAAAAAATGGCCTTCTTCTGCAGTTTTGCCGAGGGCAAAGGTCCTATCTGACAATTTACCTGAAGGAAGCTACGGTCGCCATCTACAGCCCTTACACCACACTCTTGTCGGAAGCTAAGTTTGTCACGGATGGGAAAACTAATTTGGTGACGTTAAAAGTAAACTATGGCCATGTGTTCTTCCCTATAGCGGGGAACCATCGCGCCATAGGGAATGTGAGCATAGAAGCAGGGGATGTTGTGTATGTCGGAGGACTCCCTGGAGGTGAAAATTTCAATAACTGGGGTGGAAAATTTAAAGGCTGCCTACAAGACATTCGACTGGATGACAAGCATTTGTCCATCGTGGACCATGAGGGAGAGGCGGACATTTATCAGGCAACTGATGCGAAGAATGTTCTCCCAGGATGTCAAAGTGACAATACATGTAAGGTATGGCATAAAAACTACACCTGATCTCCACAAAGCAGTTTTCGGACAAATCCCCCCGTTTTACCGGTGCTTTTATTTCTAAACTGCAGGGAACTGTGTTGCAATGTTTCCGTGCACTCTGACAGTTGGGCTGTGCTGCCTCAACCTAACTGACGTTGATCTGGTTGTGAATCCCTTTGATCTGTTTCTTACGTCCTAATCTCCTCTGCGGCTCGTTCTGAACCCCTGCAGTCGTCTTGGGTTAGAGATTTTACAAGTGAGCATCTAATCTATGCACCTGTGTTTGTCTGTACACAGCATGAGCCATGTGTCAACGGTGGAAAGTGTCAGATCACCTGGAATGATTTCAAGTGTGACTGCCCCATTAACTTCTCTGGACGACTGTGTGAGAGACGTTTGTGGTGTGTCGAAAACCCTTGCTTTGAAGGAGGCCATTGTGTTGACGTATGGGATGGTTATGAGTGTAAGTAATCTTTTGTCACTACCTTCATTCAAGATAAAAGTCATCTGAGGACAAGTGTTAGAAAAGGGTCATATAAGCATTCAGTGGTTCAGACAACCCACCGATCGGATACGATTTACATCCAGGGAAGAAGTTGAAATTGTGTTTCTTTTGCCTTCCAGGTGAAAGACATTCTGTAATGTCAAAGAGTCTCGACGCAACTAGCGTCACTATGAAAAAGAACTACTGGTCAATAATACCATCCATCCATTTTCTGATCCGCTTATCCTCACAAGGGTCACGGGGCGTGCTGGAGCCTATCCCAGCTTTCTTCGGGCGGTAGGCGGGGGGCACCCTGAACTGGTTGCCAGCCAATTGCAGGGCACACATAGACAAACAACCATCCGCGCTCACACCGACAATTTAGAGTGTTCCATTAACCTGCCATGCATGTTTTTGGAATGTGAGAGGAAACCGGAGTACCCGGAGGCACAGGGGAACACAGGAGAAAATGCAAACTCTACACAGGAAGGCCGGAGCTGGAAATGAACCCTGCACCTCTGTACTGTGAGGCCGGCATGCTAACCAGTCAACCACCAGGCCGCCCGTCAATGATACCTGAGTAGAAAAAAATACATGCGAAAGTAGCTCTGGCATAAAGGCCACAAAATGAAGACTGTACTGTGTATAAAATTGCTGATCTCCACTCAAGGTAAAAAAAAAAAAAATAGCATCTTAAACTCATTATCTTTGCCTCCCACAGGTCTGACTGAAGCCATTTTCCAGGACAATGCTCTTGAGTATTTTGCCAACAACTCCCTGTTGAGTCCAGTAACAAACATCACGATGGACATTAGAACACGGGACGACAATGGAATCTTGTTGAGGGCTGAGAACCAAGCTGAGGTATTCTGTCTGGGTCTCCTTAATTCCACACTTCTGGTCAAAATGGACACCGGGACGAGTGCAGAGCTGCTGGCTTTTACCAGTGACAGGACCATCGCAGATGGAGCGTGGCATCGCATCCAATTGACCATGATTGACCCTGCACAGTCAGTGTCCCGATGGCGTCTCACTGTCGATGGGCAGACAGCAGGTTGTAGCCTTGGAGTTAGCGGTAACCTCAATTTCCTGAATGATACCCAAATTTGGCTGGCGGAGAAATATTCCGGATGTTTGGGGGAAGTGCGAGTCGGTGGAATCTACCTTCCAATTTTCAGTGTACCAGATGCCCCTCAGCCAAGTCATTTCTCCAGACTGGGTGGACGTGAGCCAAACTTGGGATGCCAGGGTGCCCCGGTTTGTGACTCTCAGCCGTGTTTCAATGAGGGTGTGTGCCAGGACCACTTCAATGAGTTTAACTGCAGCTGCAACCCAGGGTGGGAGGGAGAACTTTGCGAGGCCGAAATAAATGAGTGCTCCTCAGGACCCTGTGTCTATGGGACATGTGAAGACCTTCTGGCAGACTACCAATGTGACTGCGAGCCTGGATATATAGGGAGGAACTGTCAGGAAGAGGTGGATAACTGTTTGGAGTTCAGCTGCTTGAATGAGGGGACTTGTGTGGAAACAAAGGCAACTCATACCTGTGTATGTCCCTCTGGATACGTGGGCAAACGCTGTCAGTAAGTTGTTCATCTCTCTCTTACGTATCATTTTAGAGCATGTTAGACTTTAAATAGCTCATATACTTTATATCCCTCATACTTCTTAAACCCGTTTTCAGTAGGGTTGTCCCGAGCCGATCAACAGGATGGAAAAAAAGGGTGGGACACATGATTTTCAGCTGATCGGTATCGGCAGAAAAAAAATCTGATTCTTAATTTTGAAAGTTCACTTGATTTGAACCACTACCGATTCTCAGCCATATACAAAGGTATCATCTTGGGATACTTAAAAAAAATCGTAAAAATAAGAATAAGAAGATTTTAGAGATAATTTGAATATGGTCTTCCTTTTCTTCCCCGTTGCATTGCAGACATATTGGATCAGGACTGGATATCGGCAGATACCGTATTTTCCGCACTAAAAGGCGCATTGATTATGAGGCGTACCTTCAATGAATGGCCTATTTTGTAATTTTTTTTCATATATTGCACACACTGGACTGACTATAAGACGCAATCTACAATGCATCCACTAGATGGAGCTACAGGTCCGTCTTTGTCCGTCTCCGTGCCTTCTCTTCTTCCGTTAGACTCGAGGGGCGTTCATAACCGCCTCCAAAAAAACGTAAATTAACGATTACTTCAATGAAACTACGAAAATTAAAAATACAGTAATGCATCAAAACAGAAAATCCCAAAATAAATTCTGTAGCCCCCCGACAGAATTTATTTTGGCATTTCCTTGAGCGTAGCGGAAACAGAACGATCAGATGTCAGTAAATTGGAGAAGACTGGACTGTCTCAGAAGTGTTTGTTATTTATTCCTTTGTTGTGTACTGTATTCACAAACAAGGAAATCACAAAATAATTTCTGTAGTGGGGCTATAGAATTTATTTTGTGATTTCTTCGCTTGATTTTCTGTTTTGATGCATTATTTTCAATATTCGTTTTCATTGAAGGAATCAGTAATTTACGTTTTTCCGAGCCGGTCTTGAACGCCTCTCGAGTCGAACGGAAGAAGTGAAGGCACGGAGACGGACAAAGACGTACCTGTATTTGTTAAGACTGTGAAAACCATTAATAAAGTGTGCCTTTTAAAAAAAACAACACCACAGCTCTCCTTTTTTCGGAGCTGCAACAAAAACGTATTGAATAAAGCAGCGACACAGTTCACTGAACCAACAGCAAGTTATAACGTAAGCATGTCTCCAGCAAGGAGCCATCTTGGTGTAGACATATTACTGTAATGACCATACACAAGGCACACCGGATTTTAAGGCACGCCTTGAGCTTTTAAGAAAATGGAAGACGTTTTGTTGCGCCCTATATTGCGGAAATTACGGTACTTAAAATCAAGTGACTTGGACTCAGCTACAAAAGAATGTGATTGGGACATCCCTCCTTTTTACTCTTTAAGTAGACATATACCAGTAACATATACCAGTCTTATTGCTAGCCATCTAATAATTCTGCACTTAATTCTCAACTCAACTCAACTGACTTTATAGAGCACTTTAAAACAACCACCGCTGTATACAAAGTGCTGTACATGGAGCAAATATCATATATACTGGCCTCTGGTAGAGGACCCGAGCTGAATGAGGGATGGACACCACCCGAGGGGTGAGACGAGGATTTTTTTAAAATTAATAACTAAATTAATAACGAAGACAGTAGATAGCACAAAAACAGTCCAACTAAAAATCAAGTCACATGCTCAATTAAAAGTCAAAGATAAAAATGAGTTTTAAGACGAGTTTTAAAGATGGGCAGCGAGGGGGCTTGTCTAACTTTCAGCCGGGGGTCATTCCAAAGAAAGGGACCAGCAACGGAAAAGCCTTGATCCCCTCTGAGCCTCCGCTTAGTTCTTGGTACCGCTAATAATGTCTGGTCCGCAGGTGTGTTGGGGCGGAGGAGCTCAGAGAGGTAAGGTGGAGCGAGGCCATTTAAAGATTTGAAAACAAATAATAGGATCTTCAAAAGAACCCCAAAATGTATAGGGTTGTGTAATGTTAATAATGAGACATCACAACAATAAATTATGTGCTCACCCATGTCTTTGTGTATAAACAGATGATCGCTATAAGACGCTCCACAGAACACCTACATGTACAGTGTCTCACTTCCAAGTGTGACTTTTTGTATTTTATTATTAGTTCATTATTGTTTTTGACTTCGTCCTTTTGCACCGAGCAGCCTACATAGAGATGTGTGTGAAGAACAACTTGTTTCGTGACGTTTGAAAACAAACCACTCTGTCATCGCGTGAGTTTATTGCCGGGTAGTGCGCTGGTGTTGTGTCCGAATGGGCCGGGGTGGGATCCATTTATGTCACTTCTTTTCCTGATTATGCCATATTATACCAGTCAAAATAACAGTCAAAGGTAGAGAACATTTTTAGCCTCTGCTCTACCAGGAATTAGTTTGCTTTCCTCCTTTAGAATTGTCTCCTTGCCATCACCGGTACCATCTCTGTGGTGGCACAAAAACCCAAACTGATTTTGTGGAAGCTGCGATGTATATTTTTTTCCTCACTTTCTTTTTTGTTTGTGTTCAAATTTGAACATACAGTACTGTGATACCTCAAACGTGTTGATTATAATCAATCCAAGTGAACTATACAGACTGCACAAGAACTTTTGGTCCATTTTTTAAAAATTCATTAATATCAATGCCAGTGCATTTCTTCGCCCGCTAACTGATTTTTAAATGTTGTAAGCATAACTTCACGAATTATAAGCACGAAACATAAAGTCACCAGTGAGTGGTATAGGCATTGGCATCCTATTTTTGTGCCCAACAGGCGGCGATTCCCTCCAGTGGCATGCGATGCCAAAACAGAGTGCCTTCATGGAGGAGTTTGCATAGGAGGAGACACTGGCGGAAACTGCACCTGCAAGCCAGGGTACACTGGTGCCAGGTGAGCCTCATATATTCAACACCCGGCACTTGCTTAGTCTGAAAGCTGAACTGGTATTCTTGTAGAAAGTCACCTGTCCAATCAAGGTTCCATTTCAAATTACACTGGATTTTATATACACTTCCCAGAATGTATTTCATCTTAGTTTGGTAGGATTCATGCAGAGAAAATCTGAAGGTCAGCAAAAATAAAGAAAAGGTTCATCACTTTTTTTTAGATATATTTTGTGACATTATGTATTTTACAGTTGTCATTTTTTTCTTTTTCTCAATACAAAAAAATCTCTCCAAACATGCTGTTGAGACAGGCTTAGACTGTCTCATCATGTCAGGTCAGGAGCGTGTTTGTTGGTGAGAGCTGCTTGTGAAGGTGTGTGTCACTTCGTGTTGTATTAAAGCCCTTCTGATGTCTTTCAGGTGTGAGACAGAAATAGACGAATGTGAGTCCAGTCCTTGTCTTAATGGTGCCACCTGTCTAGACAGACTCAACCACTTCCAGTGTGCATGTGTGCCAGGCTATAGTGGCTCCCTGTGTGAAAGCAATGTAAGTGATAATAAAATCTTTGCACCAATTCATCAACCTGAGCATGGGCGCAGATGGCATGGGGGCAGGTGGGACCCCCCCCCATATATATAGCAGAGATGAAAGTCCTCCGGATTTTCCTGGAATTCCGGATTTTCAAATTTTCATGAAAATTCCTCCGGAAAATGTAGGAAAATTTGCTTAAATTTAATCTGGACATTAGTTGACAACATTGAACAAACACGCATTTGAGTTCGTTGTTTTGATGTCACGAGCGTAGCCATGTTGAGGCACTAACAGTAGTAACAGTAAAGAGATTTTCGTCTCCTTATAAACACACTTGCTAAACCCCAGTGGAACGAATAAAAGACGCCGTGGACAAGACAGTTGTTGTAGTTTAAAAAAAAAAAAATATATATATATATTTTTTTTTGAGCAAAAAGGGAAACACACGGATTAGCAGAAAAACGTGTCCGTCCGACTTCGAGCGTCGTGTCGTTTCGGCTAGCTTAGTTTAGCTGTTGTCCAAGTTACAAGCTTTTTTTTGATATGTGACGTCGGTTGCGTCGGCGCTAATTGGTTGAAACCAAAAGACGCACGCATGCGTACATGTTCGCACTGATGCACACACAGCAGAGAGCAGCTGACTGTCGACTGCTGAGGCGCGCTTCGCTCGAATGGTGTCGCTTCAACAGTAACACCAGGAAGACAGGCAAGCTGACATACGTCGCAGCTCCGAAAAAGGAGAGCCGTGGTGTTGGTTTTTAAAACGGATACTTTATTTATGCTTTTCAGTCCCAACCAATACAGACACGTCCGTCTCCGTGCCTTCTGTTCTGTGGTTTTACTTGAGACGTTCAAGGACCGCCTCTGAAAAACGTAAATTAACGATAACTTTAATGACATGAAGAAAATAGAAAATAATCGACCTGAACACACGACGATGGAATAAATAAACAATTTTGAGACAGTCCAGTCTCCTACACATACGTGCAATAGATGCGAGTGTTAGGAACATGTTCAAGTGGTCATGGCTTGAGGAAAAGGACTTGAAGGGAGATTTTCTGTCCGACTATATATATACAGACGCTCCCCAGCATACGAACGAGATACGTTCCGAAGGATCGTTCATTAGGTGAATTCGTTCGTAAGTTGCTTCAGTGCTATATTTTGTATGGAATGTATGTTTAAGGCTTCAGTATGTTTAAGGTTTATATAAGTATAATAAAATGAAGTTTAACTTACTTTTGGAAGATGTACTCGAAGGCTTCAGGAGATGATGGAGTGGGAGGAGAAGGAAGAGGAGGATTTTATATCATGGGGCCGAGAGGGTCTTCGTCGCCGCTGGAATGGGCTTCAAGAGTTACTTCCTCCTCTGTAACATCAATGAAGGAAGAAGTTGAGGGTCCAGGAGAAGAAGATGAGGGTTGACGAGTATCTTCCTTGGAGGGTGTAGTAGAAACTGGCCGAAAGAAGCGATCTAACGACGATTGCACAGTTTTCATCTTTTTCTCATCATAAATGATGCAGTAGCACTGTATGGCATCATTCATTTGATTTGCAACCTTTGTGCAACGTTCAATATTTGGGTCTTGCTGCTCAGGCAGCGAGAACAAGCAAGAAAAGTTGGTGATTGTTTGATGAGCTTCTATGGGCAAATGTATTGGGACATGTGGACATTGAAGGGGGAGTCAAAAATATTCTGAATAATTTTGTGTTCTATACACCCCCACTTGTCATATTGTAACACGATATGTATTCTGGGCTAAAGTGGATTTCAAAGTAGGAAAAAAAATTATGTATATATATATCTATAGAGAGAGAGAGAGAGAGAGAGAGAGAGAGAGATAGATAGATCGATAGATATAGATATATAAATCTATATATATACATTTTTCAGGAATTTTCAGGAAAGTCCACTTTCATCTCTGATATATGAATCATGTACTGTATATACTGTATACACACACACACACACACACACACACACACACACACACACACACACACACACACACACTGGCACTTTGTTTAAATTAATTCATTCTATGACTACACACAGTGGTATAGAATAAATACATACTTTGTTCCTCATGAATGTAATACTTTCATTTTCTTGTACTCATTGATAATAATCTTATACACACGTGTAAATAAAAGAAAAAAAACAGAGCACATTTGGTATAATTGGTTTAAAAGGAGTCAAGAAGTAAATTTGTCCTAGTCCTGGTCCATTTAAAAAAAAAAAAATCAATTGATCTTTGAACATAAACATATTACATAAATGACATATTTTCTTAGTATAGGTTTTAAAACTATCCCTCCCTGAGCCATTACCTAATCGCGGTGGAGGGATTTGCGTATCCCAATGATCCTAGGAGCTAAGTTGTCTGGGGCTTTATGCCCCTGCCGGTGTCCTTCATGGCAAACAAGTCCTAGATGAGGGACCGGAAAAAAGTTCCAAAATTCCTTATGATGTTGACGAAAATTGGGTTATGTTCTCTCATGCCTTGTTGTGGGTCACCAGGGCCCCATGTTCATGGGTTCTCAGATTCAGGAGGAGCAGTGTGGTTTTTGTCCTGGCTGTAGAACAATGCACCAGCTCTACACCCTTGACAGAATCCTTGAGGGTGCATGGGAGGTCGCACAACTAGCTGTGTTCCTCAGAGAGTTCTGTGGAGTCTGCTTTGGGTGTATGGGGTGACGATACAGGCTGTTTGGTCCCTGCACGACCGATTTTTGAACTGTATTGTCAGCACTAAGTCTGATTCATTTCCGGGGATGGTTGGACTGCCCTTTGTCAATGATTCTGTTCATAACCTTTATGGACAGAATTTTTTGGCGCAGCAAAGGAGTTTGAGGGGTTCCAGTTTGGTGGTCTCAGTATTGCAATCTCTGATTTTTGCAGATGATGTGGTAGTGTTGGCTTCATCGAGCCGCAATCTCCAACTCTCACTGGAGCAGTATACAGCTGAGTGTAAAACGGTTGGGATGAAAATCAGCACCTCCAAATTTGAGACCATTGGCCTGGAATGAGATCATGCCCGAAAGTACCGCATGTTCCTCACTATAAGGCGCTTTGGAGTATAAGCTGCACCTTCAATGAATGGCCTATTTTAAAACTGTTTTCATACATAGCATGCACCGCATTATAAGGTGCATAGAATAGAAGCTACAATAGTGGCTGCGGTTGCATTATGCAGCCACTAGATGGAGCTACACTAAAGGGAATACAATACATTATCATACAGCTGTATTTATAGAGAGCTTTCACAACTGCTGCAGCTGTAACAAAGCGCTTTCCAGAACATTTAAAATACTATGTCCAAGAAATCAGAATATTGATCCATATATAAGGCGCACTGAATTATAAGGGCACACTTTTGAGAAAATTAATACTTTGTGGGTTGTGATCGAAAAAGTATGAATGAATAACAGTTGCTCTCATGTCCTCTTGCAGAAAAAGGAGCAAAAGGAGCGGATCCCTTGGCTGGCGGTGACCATCCCCCTCACCACATTATGTGTATTACTAGCCATCTTAGTTATATTTTTCCTCATCATGACAGCCCGGAAGAAGCGTCAGTCAGAGGGCACCTACAGTCCCAGCTCACAGGAGGTGGCTGGAGCCAGGTTAGAGATGGGCAGTGTCCTCAAAGTGCCTCCTGAGGAGAGGCTAATCTGAGGCCTGCAGCCTCATATTCGAAGTTGTGTGGAACTAGCAGAGAACAGATTCTGAAGGGACTTGCTGTTCTCCACCCCCCAAAAAAAGCACAAAAAAACCCAAACAAAAAAAAATCTGGGTAATGCCCAATGGATCTTCTAGACTGATGGCTCCACCTTGGGAAAACTACTGATATTGAAGCTTTGGGATAAGATAAAATCCAATCAGAAGAGAGGACATGACAAAGATGTGTTTGCAAATATGTGAAAAGTTGCAAAGACAATCTCATTTTAGAACGCAATTCATTCATCAGCTGATTAAACCACTTTCTTCATGGGTCATTTTCATCTAATTTGAGACACTTTTTTTTTCATCTAATTTTTAAATTTATGTTAAATGTCTCCTATTATGAAACAGCCACTATTGAAGTCCTATTTTGAAAACTGTATTGATGATTTCAAATTTCAGGCATTCATAATAAAGGCAATCCTAACTGACAGATCAAATCTTGGCGACGCACTGAAATTCGCTTCTTCAGAAAGACATAAAATGCTTCATGAAAATGCCTTCAATGTGATTGATCAAATGATATGAAAATGGCCCACATACTGTCGATACAAAGTGGTGGCATCAGCAAGAAAGAAAATGACCTGCTGTCAAAGAAAGACTGGATGAATTGCTTCCAGATATTGTACATTTTTCCATCTGGTTCAAACTTGTCCTGAACAATCCGATCACAAGTGGATAGCTGTCTTATGTTATTTATTACGCAATATCAGTGTTATTATACTATATTTTTCCACAATATTTTTAAAAATCTATATAATACATTACAGTGAGTATGCTACTTCATTTTGGATTGTAAACCGTGACCATTGACTTTCAAACTAATAGACTTTGATTAGAGATTGTAGACTCTTTCTTGTCACGCCAGTTTAAATTATTAACTCTGGTCTAGTTTATAATTTAAATAAAATTAATGACTTCCACTGTGATTATTTGTAGATGAAGAGTATTGAGATTTTTGTACTCCAGAAGTATCAAATAAAGGCAATTTAGTATAGAATTAACCACTAAGTATAAATACTGTACATCGTAAATGATAGCAAGCATCTTCAAAATTATTTTAATGCTACACTGCTTTGAACAATAACTAATATATCTGGCATGAGTATGCAACCTCCAATATGTTTGGCCTAAATGTATACATATTACCACATTATGAAAGAAAAAAAACAAGTTACCGGTGAAAGATCAGTATTATTGAATAAGGATTTAATTACTAAGGTTATTTTGTTTTTTCTCGTAAGCACTGAATTTACCCATTATAGCTTCTATGAGGCACAGATTCGCGACTCTGTAAATATGTATTGAGAAATTTTCATATGATTTTGCCGGATTATGGGCCCTATTTTCGTGCCCAGGGCAAATGTATTTTTGTGCCCAGGGCAAAGCGCTGGCTATTTGTGCGCATGGGTGGACTTTTCTTTATTTTGGTATTTTCTTAGACGGGTGCAGAGAGAAGCGGGTATCTATGCTGTAGTGGGAGGAAACATAGCTGACTTGTTTGCCATCCAGTGGGAGCAGCTCCCTTCATTCCCTTGAAATTCAGTGCTGGGAGAGACATGCGGTGCATGTTGCATGTAGATAGGCACACACAAAGTACATTTAGAAAGAACTACCAGAACATTTCCACTGGCGGATGATGTAAAATTGGCACTCAGAGACTGCCGACTACCCTTTGATCGTGCATCCGTGAAAAATGCCCCCCCTAACCGTAGTTATGCCGCCGTCAGCGGGGTGCTTTCAAAAATAATTTCAAGAGGGTAACAAAGATAAATTCATTCAATTAATTGATTTCTGCACTGATTCAGAGGGATGGTCCCACGCTGATGGCATATTTATGAATCATATCTACCACACATGTCCGCAGAGCTCTGAATCTGTCTGCCTGCACCTCAATGAAATCCATCAAAATCATGTTTCACCACCTGCACCACAACTTAGACCTGCTTTTAGCTGGTCTAAATTGTAATCTACTTTCTGTCACTAAATCGTCAGTTGCGCCAAGGTGTCAAATAAAAACTGCCCTCTGTCCGCTTGTATGCCCACTGAATCACAACGTGGCCTGAAGCGAAGATGCATCAGTTTCAATGGTGAGCGCATGTCCACCAGTCTACAAAAATAGGGCCCGTTGTTTTTTCTAGTTTCATCTTTAGTACATGACATTTAAAACAAACAAATGTAAAACAAACAAAAAACAGAAAACTGACAATGTCATTATTTTTTCCAGTTGAGATCGGATGACTCAGGATGGATAATTATACCAGGTCTGAACAGGCCATTGTTTGAACTACGACTGAAGTGACACTGGATTATTGTTTAATATTTGTCCTTTATGTGGGATTTTTGTATTTGTACGACCATTGAGCAAAGAGCAATATGCTCGAAAATCAAGGATGTGTAGTTTTAGAGGTCATCACACCCAAAGTGGCATTTCCTTGTTCCAACCAATGTATCATTATGGTTACTTTTTACATGGTATGGCGTGAAAATATGAGAAGACTTGCATAGGCACATACTTGTTTGCACCAACCAGGTGTAACGTTATGACCATTTTAAATATATGATTCACTATTGGGGCAATACCAAATATTTACAATGATCATATGCTCAGTTCACGAGAATAATTTTGAAACGAATACCCGACATAGGGCGGTGTCTATATCAAAGCTGAGCATCATTAACTTGTTGTTAAGGCAGAATATTTAAGACAGCTCTTTGTAATATGGATACGTGTCATTTGTCACTGGTCATAATGCTGTGGCTCGTTGGAATGACATGGCCGCCTCAACATTTCCACTTTATTCAATGTCACTTGGTTTGTTTATCGTGTGTTACGCTCAATGAGAATTGTCGGATGCAAAGTACAGGTTCTCCCTCCACTCATTTTTTTTTATGTTCAAATATGCCACAACCAACAGAAAGGGTGTTTTGACTTTGTCAAACTAAAAAAAAACAAACAAAAAAACTGTGTGACTGACATAGACAGCTGTATAATGTCTGAAAAATCACTTGTGCTTGACTTAAACCTCAAAATGATCCCTCAGAACACATTTAGCTGGTTTTCATCATCTAATGTGTCTTAATACAGGAATTTGTGAAATTAGTGAAGGAGGGTTTTTGATACACACACACGCCGACTTGACATACTGATGTGTAAAGAACTGCTGTAACATGACTCCGGGGGGCAGCCTTATGTGGTCATCAATAATGTGTGTAAATATGATGTGAACATTTTGTGTTTTGGGTGTTTTTTTGTCATATGCCGCAATTCCTGTGTTTTCTGATTTTTGTAACATTCAAAGGGGATGGTATTTAATTGAAAGACTCATCACAGAAATTTAACGTCATCACATCTCACTGCCACTTTCCTTCATGAGAAAGAACACATTAGAGTGTATTGATTTTCTTCAGAAACTGTTTTCTGGAGGTTGTTGGATAATGTATCCTAACAAGAGGAATGATACTGTATCCTAACAAGGTATACAGATAGGAAGTTAGTGTTAGCATACTGTACCACAGTCCTGGCTTGGTTTACTAATACTTAGATGCAACTCAGTCTGGAGTAGTTTATTTATTGCTGACCAAAAGTACATACTGAAAAAAAAAAATCACGGGTGATATGTGAAATCTATTGTCTTTAGTAAAAATCTATGCTTAATTCAAATAGGAAGAAACGTAATTTGAAACTAAACAGCTGTTTGATTGTCAGTTATTGTTTGGCCTAATGAAACAACATGAAAACAACCCCTCACAAAAAATTGTGGAATCACTGGTTTCGGAGGATGCTCATGCAGTTGTTTAATTTTGTCAAAAAAAAAAAAAAAAGCACATAACAGACATGACACAAAACTAAAATCATTTCAAATGGCAACTTTCTGGCTTTAACAACAGGGGGAAAATGTGGTTGTAACAGTTACGTACTCATATTTAGACCACGCAGAGGGAAACAATTATGGAATCACTCAATTCTGACGAAAAAAAGGATGGACTCATGAAACAACAACGACGACAAAAGAACACTTTAATATGCCACTAGTACTTTGTTGGACCTGTGATCTGCTATTTTTCTACAAAATGAATCAACTGAATGAACATCCTCTGAGACTGGCGATTCCACAATTTTGGCAAACTCAGACAGACTTCCTGCTGCCATAACAATAATGCCTCCAGGGGTCAACATTGAACACAAATAGACAGCTGATTGATTTAAGTCTTCTAATTTCACTGATAGGAAAAAAATTATTAGGAATATCAACATAATAAAGTAGTTAATTAATCAGTCAGAGTTGGGATTAGACCCCTTAGTTGCACAGAATGTACACATAGGAGGAATCATATGTGCTCATGGGGTTTTCCTGTTGTGTGTGTGTGTGTTTTGCGATGCGCAATTATTTTCATGAAATCAGCGTTGGCCGTGGGAACAGTTCCCGAGTTCTTTTTGATACAAAATGAATAACTTTGGGTGGATGGAGGGGAATATGGATATATTTTTTGAGGGGGGGGGGGTGTTTGTGTTGGGTGTTCTCCTCATTAACCCTCCTTATCTATCCCACCTTTCCACTGCATAGAGAGATCCATTGTGCTGGTGCTTCTTCCGTATTAGAACTCCTGTTTACTTCGTGAAGCTCTCTTTGAAGGTATTGTGATTACTTAGATCCCTTGTAAAATGTTGAAAGGGACTCTGCAGGTCTTTCTTGTGAATGGATGAGATGCAAGTTGTGCCTTCATGTTTTTAAAAAATCTTTTTTTTCTTTTTTTGGTGGGGTGATATTTATTCCTGTTCACCTCAACAGAGGACAGCTGACTCATTCCATGCACACAGCTATTTAAGTCTATAACACACAGTCAAACACTGTTCTGCAAAATATAGGAAGATGTAATTACGTCATTTAAGTACAATGTGGTCGTGATATTCCACTGGAGTTGTCTTGTCGGTGTTGCACACTGTGTAATACAGTTCAAAATTGGAAGCGGTAATCCAAAGTATGATGTTTTTATGTTGTACCACTTGTAAATTTGTATTGCAAATTTCAGCAACACAACTAATCAGAAAGTTTCAACTAATGCTTACATTTAGAATTACCATTTACAAAAAAATCAGATCGCTCACCATGTCAGAAAGCGACTGTACCCTACAAATCCCAAAAATGGATCGTTACACATCATGTCATTCTCTATGTATATTTGGAATTGTTGCTCTTTGTGAACAAAATGAACTGTGTGTTCATAATACATTGTTGAATAAATAATAAAAAAATAGTGATTGCCATTTCTGTTTGCAATTGGACCACTGATAGAAATATATGGAAAGACATTTAATCGCGAATTGAGTTCTTCTGCAATAGAATCAGAATTTCAAAAGAAAAGCTCTACAAGGGTCAACCTTTCAAAGGTTCTTAACCTTGTTAGAGGTACCGAACCTAATCAGCTCATATGCACATTCATCGAACCCTTTATTAGTGAAAAATAAAAAATATGATTTTTTACAAATTCAAGACATCAAAAAACACATTGGTTAAAAACAGAAAAAAGTAAATACATTTTCAAGACATACATTTTTTTTTAATAGTGCATAAAATGAACAAAATAAATCTTCATGCAGTTTCAAGAAGTGTTCCTTTAGTTTTGCCGGTGCGAGACTAGAGTTGTTCAACTTGGCATGACAGATCATGCAGATAGGACGCTCAGTCCTTTCACGGTCCGTGATGAATTTGAATCCATGTTGTAAATATTAGTCCAACCACTTTCTTTTTTTTGCTCAACATAGTTAGCATGTATTAAAACATTTTTCTTTTTTAAAATCACACGGCGTACTATCACGACAGCCACACGTTGACTACTGAGCAAACTAAATTTCCCACTGGCCAACCAATGTCATGTGATCATCTGCAGCTAGTGATAGCCAAGTGGACGTGTCATAACTAATTGACATGTTGAGTCGGGTGTGTCTTAAGCTCCATGGCAGAGGCTCCGTCGAACCCCTGAGACTGATTCACCAAACTCCTGGGTTTCGGCCGAACCCAGGTTAAGAACCAATGGTTTAGATAGAAACCCTGGGGCCTATTTTCATAGACAGTGGTATGTGCACTCGGTGTAAAAACTGCTGCAACTTCATTTTGGGGTAAGTCTAGTTTATGCTCGTGTCATAGTTATGAGTGAAATATGATGACATTCACCACACATACCTGTATCAGCAAAACACAGAATGTGTCTGCATGCACCTGGGTTCATTCAAACAAAATTGGGTACACCACCTGCGCCACGACATAGACCTGGTTTCACCTGGTGTAAAGTCTCGTTCACTTCCTGTGAGGTGCGCCAGGATCATGTAGTAGAAAACCTGTGTATGAATGCCCATGAGGGCATGAGGTGTAACATGAGGGGTGTTCACATGGCAACTTTTACTCCGGTGTAGCACCGAGGCTGCCCCCGTAGAGTGTTCACATGTACAAAGTGTATGGTGGAGCACCATTGAAAACAGCTTCAACTGGAGCAAATTTAACCCTGCTCCAGGAGGTGGTTTAAAAGTTTACTCCGGAGTAATGCTAGTTTGCGAGGCAGCACCGATATAAAATGGGACGTGTGAACGCTACAGGAGTAGACTCGCTGCGCGTGAGAAGAGTTGATTACATACGGGTAGAATGCGTTGCTTACAAGTATCAAGTCCAACTTTATTGTCAAATGTGCTGTACAGCTCAAATGAAATTTCCTCCCTCTTAAACAGACAACAGACAACAAGAGGAGCCGCTGCGGGTGCCCGCGTCACCATCAAAAGAACACTTAACATAAAATGACAAAATAATACAACACAACTCAAAACAGACAGTCGTGCCATCTTTACCACTTTTCCTTCATTCATTTTGTTGTTTGAAGCAGTAATAGATGAAAGAGGAGTGAATCAAAGTACTCTGTTGTACTTCCGTCATCTTTTGTAGGTGACTGGACTGTCTCGGAGTTGTTTGTGTAGTTTGTTCCTTTGTTGTGTGTTCAGAAACTGCCGTGTGAACGCAAGTGGGGCTGTACCGGGGTTAACACACTTCTCTTTAGTAAGCAGCTTTTTATGTGTGAACGCTCCACAAAATTTACACCGGTGTAAGATATATCGCAACAAAATACGTCGGTGGAGCACCGATGCAAATGTGTGCCGTGTGAACACCCGTATGATCTGCCCAATTCCTGAACAAAACTAAACTATGAACACATATGAGCCTGTCTACGAAAATAGGGCCTGTGTGTTTAAATGATACACCAACAGATTGGTGAAAGGATACTTTCACCTTTACTGTACAAATCTTAATGGCATTGAAAATATAACTGTTGCATTGCCTTATAGACAGGGCTGCACATAAGTGGTGTGCAGGTGCGCATGCCAACTGTAAATAGTCATGTGCGCTTCAGATTAAATTGCCTCAGTGCACTTTGGCATTACAAGAATATTGCAGCCACAGACGTCTGTATTACAGCTCAGTGACTGTGTGGGCAGCCCACACTCGAAAAGTCACAGTCAAGTTAGCAGCCACCACGACTGTTTCCTTGAGTTGACTTCAGAAAAAAAAAAGGTTACTCAGGCATCAGTGTCCAGCACAGTATTACTTGTGAGGCTTTTATTCTGAAGTATGAACAAGCGTTATGATGGCCGCATTGACATGGGTCTCACGGGAACGTATCCCAGACTTGAGGGGTGGCGGCGGTGGGCGAACTCTGTCTTGTTGTGCTGCAGCATCAAGATCATTACTTGAAAGCGGTCTGACGTGCAAAAAAGATTGGGTACCGGATGTGATACAAATCGAGACTAAGAATTACAACAAAAGACAACTTACAAATGTAAGTGCAAAAAACATGGCCAGGAAAAAAAAAAGAAGGAACACACATAAGACGTCTAGGGGATTCAAACCAGAGTTGTGAGCAAGGTGATTAATCTGACAAAGGCATGACGTCTTAAAACGTGGTTTAATACATGAATGATTATGATGAGCAACAGGTGTGCAGACTGGAGGGAAAGCTCTCCTCTGCCACCTGCTGGAGCCACACAAAAATAGAATCATAACAAATGCTAACTCTGAACTCAGTTATTTTCATTATAAATTGAATGTCTTCTTTTTTTAAAAGCAGCAAATTGCATCACAGCGTGCGTAGCCCCGGTATAGCCTGTTTTATAAATTAAAAGGAAAAACGGATGAGAAAAAAACAACAAGTCCCATCAAAAGGACTTATGTCCACATATTAACATTAAATCACTGTTTCAACAACATTCACACATGTCTTCAGTCTATACGTGTCCACTTTTCAATTTTTTTCCTGACTTGTTTGTCCAAAGAACCCCTTAAGAGCTTTGTAACCCCCGAATAAAAAGCTGAGAATTCCACTTTACTCAAAGGCTTGAGGTCTCTGACAATACACTCCAAAACCAGGTCTTCCAGCTAGGGCTAGGAGATGACAACAGAGCAGCTTTTTTGTAGAGTAAACCTGGCACTTTTGACCAAAAATAAACTGTCGTTCAAAAACACTCTCTCTTTCTCTCTCTCTCACTCACTCACTATTTTGGTGCATTCTTTTGTGAGACCGAGCTTCTCCAACCAAAATTAGTCACTTATTTTCACC